ATGTCACAGTTTTCAAGGTTTGGTCCTTTGATCGATGTCAATTGAAATGATGAATTGGTTAATCTAGTCTAGAATTAACAAAAATCATACTGCTGCATCCGTGTTCTTATTGTTAAAAATGAACTTAAAATGTATTGATCACTAAAAATGACTTATTTTAATAATAATGTCATTCTTGTTCGCAATCGGTTGCAAAACTTGTACATCAATTTAATTAAACTTTTAAATCTGAAGGAGAATATTCAATCAGTGACAGGATAGGTTTGAAAGATGTCATCTATTATTTCTAATTAATTTAGTCTACGTTAAATGAAACATTATAAATACGAATTGAGTACCGTTTTCGACTAGAGAGCTTAACCCACAAAAAGCTATATTCTTATTATTTCGAAGGTCTGTGTAGCAGTATGAATTTATCAATTGACTTGTAACTTCTCATTATGAGTATTATGATTTTTGTCAATATCATTATTATTGATTTTCAATAAATTGGCAAATATCTAATTGTTGCACGAATACATTTAAATTTGTCTGAAGTTAGATGAACACGAGTATTACAACTTTTCGAAGGAACTCAAAATGACGATAAATGGAAAGTTTCTCAACAAGTAAAATTGACAACGAAAACTCAAAAGCGTCTCCTTTTACGATCGATTTTGTAGATCATACTATATCATTGCGTTTTGTCATGAAAATTTGAATGAGCTTTTTAAAATTTTTCTATGTAGTCATTGTTTCAAAAATGACATCTGTAATTGAAATATGTAACGAAATGGATTCCATATTACCCGCTGTTATACACACAACCATGTAGCTGCCATGTTATTCTTGCATAGGTTTTATGTTAGTGTGATGCATTATCATTTCGTTTACTAAAATATTTCCTATGAAAAGTTTACCTACTCGTGAAATTCGAGCTAATATAATAACGGAATCAGACTAGACTTTCGAAAATTGTTACCAAAAAGATATTAATATACCTTAGACATAAGAGATGAAGCTTATTTTTTGAGAAGATAATTGTATGTCACAGTTTTCAGTCATCGGTGTACTCAATCAGAAGTTTTGAAACCTGTATCTGATTCACATTTTAATTCGTAAACCTACAGGAATACACCAATGAAATCTTTTTTCAGGAAAATTCCAGAGTCCCGGTTATTGTCAGACACACATTACTACATTGCCGAATGCAAGTATTCAAGACGTGGTTTTCTTTTGATAAGATATAGCAATCGGTGCATCAATCTACTACTATTACTGTGAATGAAGAAATAGTATGTTATTTTAGACTTAAGCATCGAAAATAAATAATACATGATGACCATATGATGACGTCAAAATTTGGCATTCAAATTTCGACCGCTGGTGTTTTTTAATAGAAAATAGGTTGATAATTTGTGAAAATTTACTCTGAAACGTTAATTTCATTGTGAGAATCCATCAATTACATGCAGACCGATTTGTACCGCCATACTCGCCGGCCACAGCACCTGCCGTCGAAAAATCAGACCGACTTCATCTATGATTTTATCTCGGCAAGAATTGAAACAAGCGAAGATGCATAGAATGTGCACATTAGAAGCTATCTCTACGCTACCTTCTCAAATTGCTGCGTCCTAAAATGTGCTCGGCTTTCTTGAAACTTAACATCAACCAGTCTATTATTCACTAATTGAAAGATCAATTTATCTAACTTTGTACACATTCCGTTGAGTTCAACAAGTTGTTTATGAAACACAAAAATGACTTTTAAGGTCTCTGTTATAACATATGATACGCTATTGAAGTATACTGCAGCTATCTTTCAAGCGCTTATGATTGTTTTTTGGATCACAGTGAAAATTGACTTTGAAGCTTTCTTCCTACTCTTAATTTAATCTCAAGATAAATAATTTCATTGCTAATGAATTTTTAGTAACATTTCGTATTATAAGAATATGTATTGTCTATTTTTCATTAGTGAAGGGTCTTCGCTGCAAAGCGCGGTTTTTACATATATCTGATGACTATTTAGCCTTGGCATCATCATATATCTGTATTGTATGAGAAATAAATCATTGTCTCGAGATCACCTACTAGTCCGAGACGTGGGTTTGTCTGTGTATTGCGAACAAAATGTGAAGATTCCTAGAAGTTTCGCCGTTTCAATCGAGAATTCAGGCTCAAATAATATAATACATTGTGTGCTACTGACTATCGGAGATGTCAAGGAATTGCATCGTATGCCATAACGGAGCTCTTGAAAATCTAATCTACATCCAAGACAGACCCATAGAAACTCATGATAAATGATAAAGAACTGTTTGAGAGCTTGTGGCAGACACTAAAGCGCACCATGAAATGTCATTTTAAACCGTAATTGCACTGTAGCAGACGATCGAACACATTGACGAAAGGTCAGGTAACTAATTTCAAAGCGTTTTCAGCTCACCAGGAACCCGTCACAAACCGTAATGAATGCCTGTGGGAGTCAAAAGCACATTCTATGAAAGAAAATATTATACAAAATCATGCCAATAGATGCCATTAAATGAAAGTTTCGAAGATCCCAGACTCTTCGATTAAAACTCTTTTCCTAGAAGTTTTTCTGGAAAAACTACTACTCGAAAAGTTTAAAGCTCTCCCAAGATGCTTTTATTATGGTATTCACTGAAAGTTTCTTTAGTTCTCTACCATATAAAATCAACGACGGTACACCAGTAATCTCTTGCTCTAAGGGTGTGGGTGTGGGTGTGATACGAGTTTTGGTCTCCATTATTGGTCACACCCACACCCACACCCACACCCTCCGAAATATCCACGCAAGCCAAGTGGCGACAACGATTAGGTATATTAATACTAAACAAAACCGGTTCCAATGAAACCGCTTCTCTAAGTGATACTCTAGTAACACACTTAGCTATAGACATGTGAGAAGTAGCTGGCCAAAAGGTAATCGTCCCAACAATACAACCAATTTTGTCTGCAATTGATTTAACTTCATCGAGATACATCTGTTGACCACGATACACAATGGAATATTGTATGGGTGGCCGTTTCTTTCGGAGTTCGGTTAAAGAATGTTCCAAATCAGATATTACATAACGATAAACGAATATTTGATTGATGTCCTCTGAACGTAATGATCGATTCAGAGCGATATAGAAAAAAGAGGTACGTGTATACCAACTGATAATATCTTCTGGTTTGTAGTTCTCTTCGAAATCTCGACAATTATTGGCGACATACTTTTGAATATCAGAGGAATGAAAGAGTCGAATGTTTTGTAGCATTTCATTTCGAGCAATGCAAGTATGATTCAAACTTGATAAAACATCGAAGAATAACTGAAACCAGATGTACTTGACACAGCCATCGCTCAAATCATTGAGTGATCATTCGACTGAATAACATTGGTGAGTAATCAGTTCTTGTATGATTGTTTGCCATAGAAGAACATAGAGCAAAGAGTCAACATCGAGAAAATGTTCATACTTGTGATGATCACAACATTTCTGTCACAGAAGTGGCCCCAAAATATAAATGCGGTAATAGTGGAAGAAGAACATCCATTCTAATATTAGCTAATAGATTTGATGTGATCAAGGTGACCGAAATGTCTCTATCAGTACTCTCATGAGCGATAAAATCGTCTACATCAGTAAATCAATGTTTTACATAAACTTGCAAAGAACTCGAGCGAAAATCCAATGGTGTAATATCCAATGAGATGATGGTATGTTGCAAATCACATGCCCGTGTATGGAATCGAGAAGTAGGCCACATTATATTTCATGTGAATGCTTTCGTATTAACAATTGAACGAGCACCTAAGGCATCATCCACAGAGATTGATGACAATAGAGACGTCGAAAAATTTTCTTGTGAGATTTCTTGCAAAACAAAGTAATTAAGTTAATCATAAACACAGAGTCTGACGACAGCATTTAATTCAGGAGCAAGTAAAAAGAGGAATACGTATCAAAATTGAAGCGTTTGAGTAGGTACTTCAACACTATCAAAGAGGAAGACAACCGTGGAATCAACTGTGTAAAGTAGTATGCAAATACAGAAGAATTACGATAGACAAGATACATGCATCATTCAAAAAGCTTTTCAGTCCGGCTGTTCTAAATCCCCAGTTTGCATTCAAGTATTCGGTTATAAAGCTTAGGCATATTTAGGATTATGTACAAAGTTTCTGACTTCTAAGTCTTGTACTTCGCTGTGGTCCGTCACTGCTTTTATGGTAGGTGCACACATCCTGCTAACAGATGATTCATCATAAATAAGAGAACTTTGCATTTCATATTTTTTTATTCCTAAATACGTTTTATTAAAAAATCAAAATATACCAGAAGATACACCGTCAAAAGCTCTGTAATTTACATGGAACAACTAGTTTTACAGTTGCATTTGCTATGTTTAAAAATCGATAAACTTTTGAGAAATCAAATTTCGACGTTACGAAAATAATATTTTTTTATAAAAAGCGAATTTGTTTTTTCTTATTTCAATTTTGAATTGGCTTATATCCTCTATTAAACAAAAAAGAAAACATGTCAAAAGATAAAGCGTGAAAAGCGCTACAAATTACAAAAGCCATCTTATTCTACAGACGCATTTATTGGTTTTGACAAGCGACAAAATTCTGGACGATCAAATTTCGATGTTGCAAAAGAGTATTTCTTTGTCGTATGCAATGAACGTAATGTTTTTTTGTTTATCACCTGATACGTTTTATGTAATAAAAACAAAGTATATCACAAGATGTAGCGTGAAAAACTCTACAATTGACAAAGAACACTTTATATTTTATATGCAACTTTTGTTATTAAGAAAAAACAAAATTGTGAGAGAAATTTTCTAGGATGCAAAAATTCGACACGAACGAAGACTTTCTTTTTTCGTATTTCATCATTTTATCACACAATATGTTTTCTTTTCAAAACATAGAACATGATGAAAGATGCCACGTGTAAAGCTCTACAATTTGCAAACAATAGTTTTATTTTAATTGGGTCCTTTTTATTTTGAAAATAAAATCAAAATTCTCTGAACTACCTATTGCAGCGTCGAGAGTTGGTCACTCAGAATACTGTTTATTTGGAAAGAAAACGCACACAATTAACGTAAGATTTATATTACACATTGTAGAGTTTTACATACTGTATCTTCTGGTACGTTTTGTTTTTATTATCATAAATGATTTTAAAGATCAAAATATAAAATTCAAAGTTCTGTCATTTATTATAAGTCATCCGTTATATAGCGTATAGAAAATTGCATGTTACTCACGTAAAAGAAATGATGAACAACAGCAAAGAATAAGACTTAGGGGTTCCAAATTTTGAAAATATTCCAAATATGTCTAAGCATTATCACAGCATACTTGAACTCAAACTGAGACCTTTAGAACAACCAGGGGAAAACTTTTGGAGCGCCCCATGTAATTTAATATAAAGTAATATTTCATTCCATCCATCTGATTTTCAGCTTAAAGTCATCATACAAATTTCGACAAAGTACGGACCACAAATGCCAATTACTGTTGGTAGACCATCAACAAAGGATTCCCCGTTTCTTCTAACTGCTCAACATTATTCTTTTGCTTATTTCGAAAATATTGATGTCAAAACATTCTCAAAGAAATGTATGATTTGGACATTCCGTCATGTTCGACATGATACATTATATGTGTTTCATGATTGTAATGTATGTCTATTCATTATTGATTGCTTTAAAGACTATCATACAAAAATTAACTACTGATGTCTTTTTCTGACATAGAACGATCTTTTCTTTGTAAAATAATTCAATTTTTGCAAAAACAGTCGCAAATCAACGGTTTTAAAACTAAAGAAATGAATCTTTTATATAGTCTTGTCATCAACACTCAGCTCAACTATGCCCATTTCGGAATTAGACTGTATCAATGTTGGTTTATCGAAGTTAACATTTTATTATCATAACTCGTTAGTTAACTTCATGTGAAGCGCCATGCCACATTTTATTCCGTATTTTACTGAATACAATAATAATGTTGAGCCGTGCAATACACCAAAGATAGACAATTTCTTTGAGTATCTTATGAGAATGTTTATTCGATTAAGACCAACGTGAAAAACATACGAGATTTTTACCGTACGGTACGCAAAAAATAACTCATATTTAAAGTATCTCTCTACTATCTATGGCAGCAGAAAAGCACGTGGTATGATTTATTAATGTACTACCGTCAAGAATGTCACTTTCAATGTAATAAAAAATGAATAAAAAAAGGATTTTTTTTGCTGTTCATCCCTTTCATAACTCCTTACATTTTCATTAAATGGCATACATGTTGAAAAAATATATTTGCAGTTCTTTCCGTTTGAAAGTTAAGCGCTTCTACTTCTTAAGACAGGGTCCATGGAAAATACCACTAAATTTATATATCATCGGCATTTGACGAATTTTGAAAGTACGATATTCTGGCACCAAATGAAAGAGCATATTGGAAAACCTATAAATCCAAAATTTCAGCTCAATCTGAAAGAGCTTTGAAGAGTTATAAGGATAACAATGATGATAAGTCAAGATGGTTTAGATCAAAATATCAATTTTTTCATGTTAACGGTATTTTGTCGATTTCTCCTCTACTCATCCTTTCTGCGACATATTGGTCACAGAAGACTCGAAACATTAGATTTTATGAGTTGTACAGCTCATTGAAGTTCGAAAATTCATTGATTTTTTTTCTTAATTCATACTAGAGCAGATATTAAACATGTTTGAATACTTTTAATCAAGTTAAAATAATGATCATATCCAAAATTTCTAATCTCAAGATATACTTATCATTATATAAAACGATAAAACATCGAAAAAATTTCCTAATTTTCGATACAATTAATCTCTTCTAATCAATTTCTATTATATTTTCTTTTTCAGTAACACAAAAAGCTGATCTTGAACAACAAGTTAAAGATTTAGAAGAACGTTTTAGCCAAGAAGAAGAAGGTGCACAAGAATTAGATAATAAGAAAAAGAAACTTGAACATGATATTGATGGTTTAAAAAAAGATATTGATGATATGCGTTTAAGTTTACCAAAATCTGAAACTGAATGTAAAACACGTTATAATCAAATTCATACATTACAAGATGAAATTGCTCATCAAGATGAAACAATAGCTAAATTAATACGTGAACGTAAACGTCTTGAAGAACAAAATTCTAAAACAACTGAACAATTACAAGCTGAAGAAGATAAAGTTAATCATTTAAATAAACTTAAAGCTAAACTTGAACAAACACTTGATGAATTAGAAGATAATTTAGAACGTGAAAAAAAAGCTTGTGCTAATTTAGATAAATCAAAACGAAAACTTGAAACTGATTTAAAAGCATTACAAAGTAATTTAGAAGAAGTAGAAAAATCGAAACGTGAATTAGAAGAAAATATTAAACGTAAAGATCAAGAAATTCAACAAATGGGTGGACGTCTTGAAGATGAACAAGAACAAGCAACAAGTTTAGGAAAAAAACCAAAGAATTACAAGCTCGTATTGAAGAATTAGAAGGAGAAATAGAAAATGAAAGACAACAACGAGCTGATTTAGCAAGAGAAATTGATGAAATGAATGATCGTTTAGAAGAAGCTGGTGGTGCAACATCATCACAAGTTGAAATGAATAAAAAACGTGAATCTGAATTACAAAAACTTCGTCGAGATTTAGAAGAAGCTAATCTTCAACATGAAGCTACAGCTGCACAATTACGAAAAAAACATCAAGATGCTGTTAATGGTAAATTTATTTTTTTTTTATTAAATTCCAAAAAAATTTAATTTCTTTTTTAAGAAATGGGTGAACAAATTGATCAATTGCAAAAATTAAAAAAGAAATTAGAAAAAGAAAAACAAACAGTTAAATCTGAATTAGATAATTTACGTACACAAATTGAACATCTACAAAAAGGTAAAGCAGCTGCTGAAAAACTTTCAAAACAACTTGAACAACAATTAAATGATATTCAAACTAAACTTGAAGATCATGTTAAACAAATAACTGATTTAAATCATAGTAAAACAAAATTATCAAGTGAAAATTCAGATTTAACTAGACAGCATTGAAGAATTTGAACATCAAATTGGAACTTTAACTAAAGCTAAAACAGCATTACAACAACAACTTGATGAAGCTAAACGAACATTAGATGATGAATTACGTGGCAAAGGTTCAGTTAGTAAGTATTATCACAGATATTAACTTTTATTATCATGACAGGGAAACAGAACACGATAGACTCTATTAGTCACAAATAATTGATAAAAAATACATGAATAAAATTATTTATGCATGTATGCAAAGGACAGAGGGAGAGATATATTGGTATCAGTTTCATCTTTAAGCGAAGAAGAAAATACCCTAAATCTATCTATAGTTCTGGATAGAAGGCTGACCTCATTCAGAGTTCTTCCACCCAATTACTTGAGCTACTCGTACACAATGACTAATCACATACTAATTACGATGACTGGCATATGTCACAAAGTAATCAGTATGCTACTGAACTGATGATCCGGGAGAAACAGCCGCCAGTGCTTGCTTAGCATCATTCTATGTCTAAGTTGCATCGAGTTTTGAACACAAAACCTTGAAAGTATGTGCCAAACAAATTAATCACTCAGCTTTCATCTTTGAGCGAGAAGAAATTGAACAAGTGATAGATCATCAAATATCATAAGTATATATTTAATCAGTCGTATGTCGATGTCACGAGTCATGCTTTTACTCAGATCTAAAAATAGGACAAATCGAATAGAAAAATTATTATATTGATTCGAAGATTAATACTTTTACAATTGAGAATAAATGTGAAATATTTCTCCTAATATTTATTTAGATTCTCAAATACGTAATTTAACTAGTGATCTTGAACAAGCACGAGAACAACTTGATGAAGAACAAGAAGCTAAAACTGAACTTCAAAGACAAGTTACTAAACTTAATGCTGAAGTACAACAATGGAGAGCACGTTTTGAATCTGAAGGTTAAAATTTCATTAATTTAAAAATTTTAATTTATTATTAAAAAATTTAATATTCATTTAGGAATAGCTCGTGGTGAAGAACTTGAAGAAGCTAAACGAAAATTAGCTGCTAAATTAACCGAAGCTGAAGAACAAGTTGAAGCTGCTTTAAATAAATGTAATGCATTAGAAAAAGTTAAAGTTCGTCTTCAAGGTAAAGTTGAAGATCTTATGGTTGATGTTGAACGTGCTAATGCTAGTAAGTTTAACATATAATTAATATAAAACAAAAAAATAATTTCTTTGTTTTTTTTCTTTTCGCATTATTTATTAACATGCATCGGCTATGGATAAAAAACAAAAACAATTTGATAAATTAATTAATGAATGGAAACAAAAATGTGAAGATATAACTGTTGAACTTGAAACGTCACAAAAAGAAGAAGCAAGACATTTTTCAACAGAATTATTTAAACTTATAACACAATATGAAGAATCACATGAACAAATTGAAGCACTTCGAAAAGAAAATAGAAATTTACCTGATGAAATTAAAGTTTGTTTTTTATATTTATTCTTCTTTATATAAGAAAAACAAATGAATTGTTTTTTTGTGTTTTTTAAGGATCTTATTGATCAATTAAGTGAAGGTGGAAAATCAGTTCATGAATTAGAAAAATCTCGTAAACGTGCTGAATTAGAAAAAGAAGAATTACAAGCTGTATTAGAAGATGCTGAAGCAACACTTGAACAAGAAGAAGCTAAAGTTCTTCGAGCTCAAATGGAATTAAGTACAGTTCGTCAAGAAATTGATCGAAGACTTCAAGAAAAAGAAGAAGAATTTGAAAATACAAGACGTAATCATCAACGTGCAATTGAATCAATGCAAGCAAGTTTAGAAGCTGAAACACGTTCAAAAGCTTAAGCACTTAAACAAGTACAAAACAAAAGAACTAAAAAAAAATGATAATTTAAAATATTATTTTTATTTTTATTTTTTATTTTTTTTCTAGAAAAAGAAACTTGAATCAGATATTAATGATCTTGAAGTTGCAGTTGATCATGCAAATCGTACAAATGCTGATTTACAAAAAACATTAAAAAGAATTCAACAAAATATTACTGAATTACAAACACAAATTGAAGAAGAACAAAGACAACGTGATGAAGCATGTGAAGCAGCTGCTGTAGCTGAACGTCGTGTTAATCTTATAACTGGTGAACTTGAAGAATTACGTACAGCTTTAGAACAAGCTGAACATGCACGTAAACCAGCTGAAAATGAATTACATGATGCAGTTGATCGTATTAGTGATATAAGTACACAAAATGCTAATTTATTTTCACAACGACGACAACTTGAATCAACTATTGCTGCTATGCAAGCTAATTTAGATGAAGCTGTTAGTGAACTTAAAAATAACAAAGAACGTGCTAAGAAAGCAAGTGCTGATGCTTCACGTCTTGTTGAAGAATTACGGCAAGAACAAGATCATGCTTTACAAGTTGAACGATTACGTAAAGGTCTTGAACAACAGGTTAAAGATCTTCAAACATGTCTTGATGAAGCTGAAGCTAATTCACTTAAAGGTGGAAAACGTGTTATTGCTAAACTTGAACAACGTGTAAGAAGTTTTTTAAAAGAATAAAAATAAAAATAAAATTCAATTTTTCGTTTTCTTTTGTTTATAATATATTAGATACATGAATTAGAGAATGAAAATGAATTAGAACAACATCGTCATCAGGAAACATTGAAAGAATTACGTAGAAATGATCGTCGTTTGAAAGAACTTGCATTTCAAACACAAGAAGATCGTAAAAATCAATTACGTTTACAAGATCTTACTGAAAAATTACTTAGGGTGGTCCAAAAGTTCTGGCCACGGAGTTTTAAATTCATTAAAATACTCAGTTTTGAAAGTTTTATTGCATAAATAGTTAGTAAAATATCTCGTCTATAATTATACGTATAACAAGTCTATCTTGGATTTAATTCTGACATTCTTTTAGGTAAACTTTATAATACTTAGTACCTAGCAAGGGTGTTGATAACGTCAAGTAATCATATCAAAAGAGCTACTTATTTCTGGTTTTATTTTATTAAATGTTCAAAATAATCACCATCATTATTTACACAAAGTTCCATCCTTTCTAGCAATTTGTTGAAAGTCTTTTTAAACTCTTCTTCTNTTTTCATATAAAAAAAGAATTATTTTAATTTTCTTTTTTTGTAGGATCTTATTGCTCAATTAAGTGATGGTGGAAAATCAGTTCATGAATTAGAAAAAGCTCGTAAACGTGCTGAATTAGAAAAAGAAGAATTACAAGCTGCATTAGAAGATGCTGAAACAACACTTGAACAAGAAGAAGCTAAAGTACTTCGTGTTCAAATGGAATTAAGTATTGTTCGACAAGAAATCGATCGACGACTTCATGAAAAAGAAGAAGAATTCGAAAATACAAGACGTAATCATCAACGTTCACTTGAATCAATGCAAGCTAGTTTAGAAGCTGAATCACGATCAAAAGCTGAAGCACTTAAACAAGTAGAAAAAGAAACAAAATTAAATATTACATTTTCTACTTTTTTACATTTTTTTTTTAGAAAAAGAAACTTGAATCAGATATCAATGAACTTGAAGTTGCACTTGATCATGCTAATCGTACAAATGCTGATTTACAAAAAACATTAAAACGACTTCAAGTAACTGTTACTGAATTACAAACACAAATTGAAGACGAACAACGACAACGCGATGAAGCTCGTGAAGCAGCTGCTGCAGCTGAACGTCGTGCTAATGTTCTAATCAGTGAACTTGAAGAATTACGTACAGCTTTAGAACAAGCTGAACGTGCACGTAAAGCAGCTGAAAATGAATTACACGATGCAGCTGATCGTATTAGTGATGTAAGCACACAAAATGCTAATTTGTCTTCACAACGACGACAACTTGAATCAACAATTGCTGCTATGCAAACTGATTTAGATGAAGCTGTTAATGAACTTAAAGCTAGTGAAGAACGAGCTAAGAAAGCTACTGGTGATGCTTCACGTCTTATCGAAGAATTACGTCAAGAACAAGAACATGCTTTACAAGTTGAACGTTTACGTAAAGGTCTCGAACAACAAATTAAAGATCTTCAAACACGTCTTGATGAATCTGAAGCTAATTCACTTAAAGGTGGAAAACGTGTTATTGCTAAACTTGAACAACGTGTATGATACATGAGTTTTTGTGATTGTCTTAAAAGAAAATATTTCTTTTGTTTTTCTGTTTATTTAGATTCATGAATTAGAAACTGAAAATGAATTAGAACAAAGTCGTCATCAAGAAACACTCAAGGAATTACGTAAAAATGATCGACGTTTGAAAGAACTTGCATTTCAAACTGAAGAAGATCGTAAGAATCAATTACGTTTACAAGATCTTACTGAAAAATTACAATCAAAAGTTAAAGTCTATAAACGTCAAGTCGAAGAAGCTGGTGAATAGAATTGATTTTTTTTCTTTTTTAGTAATCATCATTTACATTCAAAACATTTTTCGTTTTATAGAGGAAATTGCTGCAATGAATTTAACTAAATTTCGTAAAATTCAAACAGAACTTGGTTAGTTAATTAGTAAAAAAACAAAAAATCTGAAAATTCGATTTGATTTTCTTTTGCAGAAGAATCAGCTGAACGTGCTAATTTAGCTGAAAATCAACTTGGAAAATTTCGCGCCAAGAGTCGATCATCTGTTAGCGTCAGTCGTACCTCTGAAGTTGTAAGTTAATACTTTTATATAAATAAGATAACTTGTAATATTTTCTTATTTGTTTAGCATGAATCAAGTGTAGCCATCCGTGCTAGTTCAGTTCGTCAACGTTAAAAAATTCAAACAACCAAGCTTATGAATAACAAACTTTCTTTTTCTGTGTGAAGTTTTTACAAATTTTAAAACATTAGTCTAAATAAAATATTTTCCTTTTCCGATTTTACAAAACCTATTTAATATAATAAAAAAAAGCTAGTAACAGAAAAGTTTTTGCTAATATGATTATCGATTACTCATGTTTATCAATACAAACTATCATGACAATATCACGGAGAGAAATAAAACCAAAAAGACAATGAATATGTCGCAGTAATAGAGTACAGTTGGCTAGTTTGCCTGCAATTGATAACATATTGTTGTTGATATACGATGACAGAATGCAGCATATGCATAACATCTCTTTCTAATATATAAAGTATTTTCTCATTACATTTCGGCAGTATTAAGTAAAAGATACTGCCCAAATGTGTTCCAAAATAGATAGAATAAAACAATATCTGTGTATATTAACAACAGCAGGCACATCGTGTCTGAATGTCACTTGTTTTCATAAGTGAAATCTTAAAGATGATTGACTGAAAAAAAAAAGAATATTTAACTTTGATCTCTAGTCTCAGGTGTGATCTCCTTCCGTAAATTCAGATCAGAATCAAGCTGAAAACTGCTATCACACATCTATAGTAATATAAAATATTCTGTTTGATATGAACAGTATTCATTACAATGAATTTTTAGGCATCTACTCAACAGCATCATTGTTTTTTAAATTAAATTCAGAAATTCTTCTCGTGACAAACTCTCAACACTTATTACAGGTATCTTTGACGAATAAAAAAAATTAAAATTCAATCAGCTTTAATGATCAGATAGAAACAGAAAAGAAAAACAACGATCCGAGTGAATACACCCTTTTCATTGATTTTAATCATCTTGTAATCAATTCTNAAAAAGAAACTTTAATCATATATTAATGATCTTGAAGTTGCACTTGATCATGCAAATCGTACAAATACTGATTTACAAAAAAAACATTAAAAAGAATTCAACAAAATATTACTGAATTACAAACACAAATTGAAGAAGAACAAAGACAACGTGATGAAGCACGTGAAGCAGCTGCTGTAGCTGAACGTCGTGTTAATCTTATAACTGGTGAACTTGAAGAATTATGTACAGCTTTAGAACAAGCTGAACGTGCACGTAAAGCAGCTGAAAATGAATTACATGATGCAGTTGCTCGTATTAGTGATATAAGTACACAAAATGCTAATTTATTTTCACAACGACGACAACTTGAATCAACTATTGCTGCTATGCAAGCTGATTTAGATGAAGCTGTTAGTGAACTTAAATATAATGAAGAACGTGCTCAGAAAGCAAGTGCTGATGCTTCACGTCTTGTTGAAGAATTACGTCAAGAACAAGACCATGCTTTACAAGTTGAACGATTACGTAAAGGTCTTGAACAACAGGTTAAAGATCTTCAAACACGTCTTGATGAAGCTGAAGCTAATTCACTTAAAGGTCGAAAACGTGTTACTGCTAAACTTGAACAACGTGTAAGAAGTTTTTTAAAAGAATAAAAATAAAAATAAAATTCAATTTTTCGTTTTTTTTGTTTTTAATATATTAGATACATGAATTAGAGAATGAAAATGAATTAGAACAACATTGTCATCAGGAAACATTGAAAGAATTACGTAAAAATGATCGTCGTTTGAAAGAACTTGCATTTCAAACAGAAGAAGATCGTAAAAATCAATTACGTTTACAAGATCTTACTGAAAAATTACAATCAAAGATTAAAGTTTACAAACGTCAAGTTGAAGAAGCTGGTAAATAGATATTTTTACAACGATTATTTTTTTTTAGAGGAAATTGCTGCAATTAATTTAGCTAAATTTTGTAAAGTTCAAACAGAACTTGGTGAGTTAATTAATGAAAAAAAAAAAAGGAAAAACAATCGAAAATGTTTTTCCTTTTGCAGAAGACTCAGCTCAACGTGCTGATTTAGCTGAAAATCAACTTGGTAAATTACGTGCCAAAAATTGAACATCTGTTAGTGCTAGTCGTACTTCTCCAGCTGTAAATTGGTCTTTTTTTTATTAAAAAATATAATTAAAGATTTTCTTTTTGTCTTAATTCTCTAGCATGAATTACGAGAAACTACTACAACAGTACGAGCAACATCAACACTTCGTGCTGGTTCAGTTCGTCAACGTTAAAGGATAAAAACTTATGAATGTCAATATGAATATGTTCTTATCTATCTGAATATTGCGTGTTTGAAAGGGTGTGTGTCTGGGTGGGTGTGGGTCTGGGTCTGGGTG